AATATATATATAAATTATATATATTAATTATAAATTATAATAAAATTATATATTTTAAAATATATAAAATATAAATAAATATATATATAAATTATATATATTAATTATAAATTATAATAAAATTATATATTTTAAAATATATAAAATATAAATAAATAAATATATATATATATATAACTAAAATATATATATTAATTATAAATTATAATAAAATTATATATTTTAAATATATAATTATATATTTTAAATTATATATAAAATATAAATTAATATGTATATAACTAAAATATATATATAAATTATAAATTATAATATATATATAAATTGTATATATATAAATTATAAATTATAATATATAATATATAAACATACAAATATAAAATTATATAAAATTGCATTTTATACAAGTCAATATTCGATGAACCTACTTGTGAAGTGTTTCTATAATAAATATTCGATTCTACCCCGCAAAATTATAGATTCGAGGATTGAAAAGGATTCGAAACCCAACGATCGAAGGTTCGAAACCCACTGGCGAGGCACTCGTCTCTACCGAAGGCCAGTCCGTGCAGGTGGCTAGCCTCAGCCGGTAAACGAGAAATCGCGAGCACGCGACAGATCATCGACGACAGGGAGGACGAAGGTCAGAGTGCGCAGGAGCTACCTCCTGGTGGGGGGCGGCCGACCATCGACGGGGGAGCCTCGTCAGCCACGGCTGGATTGCGCACACGCGCGGAATTTCCCGGGAATCGGGTCTTTCCGGGTCTCCGAGACACGGTTCTCGTTCGTTCGGTTCACTCGAGCGTCCGACGCGCGACACGGCAACAGGTGACGACCGGAAGCCGATCGCCCAGCATCTCTCTGGACTGCACCACTGAAAACCACCGTGTCGCAAAGTGTCACCGCGCTTCGCCACACGCGTCACAACGCGAGGCAACGATTTCTCTGTCTCGAGAAATTCTCTGTCTCGAGGTGACTTGGCTCTGAACTTGGCCGGCTGGTGTCGTTGGCTGGAAGATCGTTCGAATTGGAAGAATCGAAGGGAAGAGGTGGGTCACGAAGGAGGAAACGGGAGGGAAAATGAGCGTCGAGGACGTCATCAACTACAAACCCAGCGAGGAGGAGGATTACTACGCTCTACTCTCGTGCGACGAGTCCGCCACGGTAAGACCAATTCTCTGCGTGTACTTTTCCACTCAGATTCGTTTTTTCCCAGCGTGTTTCTTTTTTTTTTTTTGGAGGGGGAGGATTTCTTTCGATAACAGGGTGGTTTAAAATTGTGATTGAAATATTTAGAGAAGAGCAGCGTTACTCGTGCGACGAGTCCGCCACGGTAAGACCAATTCTCTGCGTGTACTTTCCACTCAGATTCGTTTTTTCCCAGCGTATTTCTTTTTTTTTTTTTTGGGAAGGGTTTTTTTCGATAACAGGGTGGTTTAAAATTGTGATTGAAATATTTAGAGGAGAGCAGCGTTACTCGTGCGACGAATTCGCCACGGTAAGACCAATTCTCTGCGTGTACTTTCCACTTAGATTCGTTTTTTCCCAGCGTGTTTCTTTTTTTTTTTTTTGGGGAGGGTTTCTTTCGATAACAGGGTGGTTTAAAAAATTGTGATTGAAATATTTGGTAAAACTTCAGGGATGAAAGGAACTTTGTTGTCTCCTGTTGTCTTTTTATTTTTTAGTTTTAATCGTTATCAGTGACTGAGTCGTTTGTGGCGCTTTCTTTTTAGAGGGATTGAGATGGAAATTCTTCGAGGAGAGATAGATCACCGCGTCTTTCTTTCGAGCGACGGCAAGATGAACTCTGCGAACTCTGAACGAAACTCTGCGAGTTCCTCTTTCATCAATGGTTTTCTTTGTCTCTTTCGATTATTACTGACGATAGGGTTGCTTGTGGTTCAAAAATTGAAACTCTTGGAAATCCTTTCAGAAGGGTTACTATGTTTCCTTCTTTCCGCGACGGTAATCAACTTCTCGTGGATTTCTTTACGAACAGTTAATTTTTACGAGTTTTTAATATTCACTTTAGTTCCCTTTTTCTTGATTTCTTTCTCGCCGACAGGGTTGTTCTTAACGATTCTAGAAAAATATTTAAAATCGGAGCTGTTCCCAATGTTCCTGGAGATTGGCTCTTGAGCTTTTGAATGATCTCGTTCGCAACAATTTTTAATTAACAGTGATATAAAAGTACAGATAACAGAGCGAGATTCTCTCTTTTACAGAGCATTTAAATTCCAATCGTGTCGCATTGTATGTATTTTGTAAATTCCTTGTTTAAACAATCTCTTTGATTTCGAAAAATATTTCGAAACGAGGCCTTGTTTATACACACTGATTTCTATGTAAATGTATGTAAATCTTACTTAATTCTAATCCCTTATTTTTCCAATTTAATTTTTTTCCCCCCATTTGACGTCAAACTGATACTAATGGTAAAAAGTTATTATTCGTGAAAAGATAAGTTATCAAATTTGCAAATTCTTCTGTTAATAATAAATAGAGTAAATTTCTATTAAATTGCGCGACATTTAATTTCATATCACGATCTTCTCTTTTGACTAATGTTACGACCATTTGTCCCGGATTTTCATTTGTTATAATTATGTACGAAATTGTAATTGTTGCATCTTCGAAGAAATGGCGTATTGAATAACGTACGATGATTCGAGAGTGAACTACTGTCTAACAAAGGGATTTGGAAACGAATTTCTAACAACTTACGTTGCTATCAGAAATGTCAAAAATATATACTGCATGTTAGAAAGATGAATGTCATAGAATCTCACCTTTAACCGCTGTAAAATATGACAAGAAAAGTGTGTTAAATTGAAAGGAAGGATGGACGAGGATTAATTACAGAGTTGACTTAATTATAGAGAGTACATAGAAAAAAATATAATCTAATATAAAATATAATACAATTATAAACTATTATTATAAAAAATGTATATATATATATTTTAAGTAAAATATTTCTTGAACTAATGACTTTTCGGTATAAATGATTTAATACTTTTTTATACTGCTGAATCGAATAATGTATAAAAAGATTTTACTTGAAAAAAAAAATACAAATTTAATCTAAAAAAGCTCTCTACGCATCAACATTAAGAAATAATAATTGCACGAGTTCATGCTCCCCTCGGAACCGTTTAAATTTTGTCTAAAACATTTTTGAATATAATTAATCATTCGGTTTCTACTCTCATGCTATTCACCCTATATATACAGAGTAATTCACGCGGCTTGCACACCTAAACCAATGTTTAAGTCACGCGTCTAATGAAAAATTGTTTGGTGGGTATCGAAATTATTTTCACCGTAAGTCGAAAGGATAATTAAAATTTAAATTAAGAACATTGAAAGTAATATTAAAAGAATATTAAAAATAAGAAATGTACTAAGCCACGTTGGTCTTAAACCTAATTAAGGAGCTAAGGAGATATATATTTCAATTTTATTAACTTTATTAAAATGTAATGTAAGACACGATACGATTGTAAAAGCGACACAAAGCGACACAGCCTGGTCTCTCGGCAATTGAACAACTTCCAACACGAGTTACTTCTCGAGCTTGAGTCTTAAAGCTTCAGATTCTTGGGATCGTTCGACGTGATGCGTAACACGCGTATTTAATATACTTTTGGAATTAATTTGGCTGTCGGATAATTGCATCAGCGCCAGGCACAACTTTAATTAGCGCTTTGGGCGAAACTTCTCGATTAGTATCGATCGTCCGCCGATTGCCAGTTCATTTGACAAAAATACGTGGCTCTCGATGGAACTCGACAATGCGATTACCACTCAATCGGTCTCGCGACTGATAACTTCATCGTCACTGTTCGCGAAATTCACGGTGAAAATGAAAACGTTCTCGATGTTTTCGATTGGGGACGGAATTTGTATTTCCCTTTCAGCTAAATTAGATTGAATCATCGAGCTCTTTTTCCTGAGATCTTGAAAAGGCTTTACGAGAAAAAGGATTTCAAAACGAATCGCTTGATATTTTCTTTGTGGCTGCTTCTTTATGCTAGATTATTGCACACTTTAGATTTTTATTGTGAAATAATTTTTGTGCTAAATGTATATCTACGATGTATCACGTCGTTTCATGTCGTTATGTTAGTAGAGTTTCAAAATGTTTTCGTACAGTTAGCGACGAAAGCATGAACGTATCCATTTATCAAGTTTCGAATATTCATAGTGGAAAAATAAGCGTTTTAATTTAAATTTAAATTTAATTTGTTAGCTGACGTATCGTGCATTTAAAAGAAATAAAACTTATATTGACTGATATAATAATTATTTAATATAATGAGAAGAACATGTAACGTAACAACAGCAATTGCACAATTTAGATTTCGTAACTTCATTTATCGTTCTCCAGTAAACAAATTTCAACTTCAGAAACATCGCCATTTCCTCGTTTCATCGTGTATAACTTTAATTAACGTACAGATCACTGTCTGTAAAATATTTCGAATCTTTGTTTCTCTCTTTAACCTCTTAGATTGGAGTGACGTGCCACGCACGTCGAGAATTTCTTGTCCCAAACTATGGCAATATTATTATTTCCACAGTTTTAAGTATAACCCAGGCAAAACAAATAATAAATTTATTACTTGTTAATAATTTCTATCTACAATGATATCATACCGACGTGTTCAGAAAGAAAGCGACGAATTGTTTTATACTGTTTTGGTCACTCGTTATGGTCCGCAATCAGTTGTCAGCACCAAGTGGTTAACCTCTTGCGCTGGAATGACGTGCCACGTACGTCGAGAATTTCTTGTCCCAAACTATGGCAATATTTCCACAGTTTTAAGTATATTTACGTATAACACAGACAAAACAGATAATAAATTTATCACTTTTCAGTAATTTCTATTCAGTGATATCACATCGACGAATTCAAAAGAAAAAGAAAGCGACGAATTATTGTATACGGTTTTGGTCACTCGTTATGGTCCGCAATCAGTTGTCAGCGCCAAGTGGTTAAACCTCTTGCGTTGGAATGACGTGCTACGCACGTCGAGAATTTCTTGTCCCAAACTAATGGCAATATTTCCACAGTTTTAAGTATATTTACGTATAATCCAGGAATGACGTGCCACGCACGTCGAGAATTTCTTGTCTCAAACTATGGCAATATTTTCACAGTTTAGTATTTTAAATATATTTACGTATAACCCAGACAAAACAGATAATAAATTTATCACTTTTCAATAATTTCTATTCAGTGATATCACACCGACGAATTCAAAAGAAAAAGAAAGCGACGAATCATTGTATACGGCTCGGTCGCTCGTTATGGTCCGCGAACCAAGTGAACCAAGCGCAAGGTGTTTGAAATCCAAACTCTTGAACAAAAAAATTTGAAACTCGACAGATGTTTCGTGATTGACTATGCGTGCAAGTTTTTCTGAAACGATAAATCTTCTTTCTCGGTTTTTAACCAACGAAAACCTGTTCGAGAGACAGAAAGGAGTAAGCCAATCCCAAGTAACCATGACCACCGATGACAGAAGATGATCTTTCCGCGTCGTTGGAGTGTCGTCGGACTAATCGTTGAGAGCCCGATTCGATTATAACTTCCAGAGTAAGTTGCCTGAGTAAACAAAGCTACGTATTTCCACGTCGCGAATGGTCGATCGAGCTTTCCAACGTGGGAGCTCAACACGGTTGGATATGTTGGCGTAAAAGTCATCGTTCATCCTTCCCTAAAAGAATTACGCCGGTGTTTTCACCCCAGCGCTTGTTTTCATCCCTCAATTGGGCCCGCTAAAAATAAACGACGCGCCGCTTTAAATAACACACGCCCAATGAGTTTTAACGAGAGCGATCGTGTTCGCCGGTGTTTGCCGACGGTCAGTCGGATCCATTAAGAAAACTCCACGCCCCATTATGCAGGCAAATTCGTTAAATTGCCTGGCAAATATCAGTCGTATCCATTAGCCGGGAAATCGACGAGCGCAGGAGTGTCCCTTTTGATTATTGTCGTCGAAAGTCTCAGGGCAAATTCTCTGGAAATGTTATTTGCAACAACTTTGTTGCGAATTTTTGGACATTTAGTTGGCGTTCTTTCTGTTCTTCCGCGATCTCGACTGAACGTGACTTTCAAGCACGATTAATAAAAAATAAATCTTTTGGGGGAAATTTTGTCGAAAGAGAATTGAAAAGGTGGGACGTGACGAGAGTTATTCTGTTGGAAGGAAAAAGAACCTCGGCACGCTATGTTGAGAGAAAGGGCGATATATATGGAATTTTTATGGAAAATCGTAACGAATATTTTATAAATTTCAAACTTCGCAAATCTCGGAGATTTTCATCGATTTTTCAATTTTCCTCCTTACGGAACTGTGTTCCAGGTGGAGCAAATCACGGCAGAGTACAAGGTGCTGGCTCTTCAATATCATCCGGATAAAAACGAAGGCGACAAGGAAGCTGAACGAAAGTTTCAGCAACTGAAGGTTCGTTCCCTCCTATTTCTTTATTCGCGTATGGTCGAGCGGGCAACGTGACTCACTCGGGAAATTGTTGCACGATTGCTCCATTCGCGTTAATTTACCTCGTCCCGACGGCACGATCTAATCAGTATATAATTGGTACGATTGTATAGTTGGCGAAATATCTATGAAATATCACGGTTATGCTATGCTGTACGATATTAAAAAGTTGAATTTTTTATAACTTGGTCGAATCAATTTTTGGTTTTGTAACTTGGTGAGAAATACATTTGGGAATTTTCACGTGGGTGCCTGTTTGTGGGAAAGTTCAATGTTTACAAAAAAAAGAAAAAAAAAAAAAAAAATGTAGAAATATTTCCAATACTAAGAGGAACAAAATTTCCAATACTAATTATTTATAATTATTTC